GGGTCTTGCTCCTTTGGAAAACATCTAAAGAGCTTTGTGGACCGCCTTGCTGTGCCCTTTTGCACAGTCGGACATCTAAACCAAGTAGAGGGAGCACAGCCTCCTGAAGCCCGTCATGAGAACCCAGATTTAGAATGAGCACCAGAGCCCTGCTTTCGGGAGTACCATTGAGTCCCTAGAATCAGAAGGGAATTCACTCATGCTTGCTGAATCCAATGGGTGCTAATATAATATCCCTGGCAGATAGATGGCCACAAAATTCTTCCCATTTGTAAGGAAATTGAAACCATTTCTTTACAGTATGTCCTCTCCTAGTGATGGCTTCTGGACACAACGGATGGGTTCTCAGAACTCTGGGACCATCTTGCTCTAGGACCCTGACTCTCCATGTCTGTTGATGTCATCTGTCTAGGATGTCACAGAAGTTTCTGCTTCTAAACCTCCCTGCTGTTCTGTTAGACTAATCAGGACTCCAAGTTTCTTTATATCTGACAGCAAACTGTGCCCCAGCATCCATGGACTTCTTCCTGTGGGGAATGCAGCATGGAGTTGAGGAGAAGCAGCAGGGACAAGGGTCCTCTAGTGTCTCTGGAGCTTTTCTTTTGATAGATGGAGGTTCACCATGAATACCCACCCTCCACTTCTGTCCCTTTTGTCTAGGGATATTACTGTGGTGATTTGGGAGCAGGTAAAAAAAAAAAAAGTTCCTTCAACCTTTTCCTTATTTCCAAAGGGCCTTTCTGTCTTGTAAAACAGCCCGAAACTTCTCCCTGGTTAAATGGTGAGAGACAGATCTCCAAGATACACTACTGTCCTGTGACCCTGGTAGAAAAAAAAGAGACTGTGTGTCAAGAGCTTTTCATGAAAATAGTCTTCTGTTTCTGGAAAAACCAAGACCCCTTTATCATAGCTAAGAGGATTTAAGTGCAAGCGGCCAGAAGAGTCTTGGCATTCTTGTTCAGAGGAGCTGTGATGCCCCAGACAGTCAACATCTGTGCGGGACCAACCTCTGAAGCTCCTTGTGCTCTGTACATGGTAGGCATCAGTGGCCACTCCCTGGATGGCATACATCCCCTGGGAGTTTTTAGCTTAACTAGCTCTAGGAATGCTGGTGGATTGGACACAAAATAAATAACTTTTGAGAAGAACTATTTTAAAAGCTTAGGGTAGATTTTATTCACTTTTCCTCAATTAATGTTTTCGAAATGGCACAAGGCTGCTAGTTCACAGACCTGGAACCTCAGAATGGAGACTGTGTTGATGTCCCCACTTACAGGCGGAATCACTCCATTGATCAGAAAGGCTTCCTCCTTCCAAGTTTGAGTTTCACTGACATCAGAGCTGAACCCAGTGGTTCATGGCTCAGGAAGTTGGGCCCTGATTTTCTTTTCTCCTCCTTTCCCTTCCCTGCCCGCTCCCTTTCTTCTTCCCTCCCTTCCCTCCTTCCATCCTTCTTTCCATCCTTCCTTCATTCCTTCCTCTGTCCCCTCCCTCTCTTCCTCTTTCTTTTTCCTCCCTCTCCTTCCCTCCCCCTCCTTTTCCCTCTCTTTCCTCCTTTCTCCCACACTCTTTCTCCTTATCCCTGTTGTCTCAATTACACTGTTAGAAGCATAGGCATCATTACTGAGCCCTGCTTATCGGAAGATCTTGCTTGGGGAGAATTTGTACTCCTTTAGATCTAGAGGGATCTGCTATCCTGCTAGCCACAGTAGGAATGACCACCAAGACTCTCTTTCCTATGGGGATATTCCAGGCATCTTAACCATGTGGTCCCTTGAGGCTCCTAGGAACACTGCTAAACCCAAGTGTGGCCACCTCTGCATACATCATGTTGTCACCACAAGAGGACATAACAGCTTAAAAGAACCGAAAGTTAAAAAAAATAACAATAGAAGACAGCTGAGTAAACATGAATATTTGATCCATCTACATCAGTCATCTCCTAGTTTTCTCCAATCTCCTCCCTGTGCTGTGAGGACAGGGTAAACACGGCCTGGGGAGATGGTGGGAAAAGGCTGAGGCCAAGTATCCAGGGACCCGCTCTAGCTGTATTGGCTTGAAGTAACAAACCAGAGCTGTCTTCCCTTTCGTCTATTGTGAAGTGTGTGTATCAATTTGAACATTTTTTTTAAAATCCCCACAGTCTAGCTAAAAGCAGAGCCATCTAATTGCTCAGGGAGGAATTCCCAAAGGGAAAATTCTACCACTCAGATGAGGGCCTTGGAGGCAGGACACTGTGTGGGTTTGTTTTCCAAGGAAGCAAGGAAGGGATAACATATATGATACAGCTGGAGCCTTAAAAAATGCACAGAGCAGCAAGCTTCATCCAGACTCAGATGAAACATCAGCATCGGAGGTCAAACCAATGTTTGGAATGTGGCTATAACGGTTTCTCCCCATAGCTTCATCTTCATGCTAAGCTTTGCCTCTGGATTTTGTGGTTCTGATGATGGACATACAGACACAACGCAAAGTTCATCACATAGACCCTTACAAGCACAATGCAGATCAAGGAATGTCAGAACAAATTTCATGCTCCCTTTAGACTCTCTGTAAGAGAAGGCACTAGCCTTGGCAGCCACTGATGGGGAGGCCGCTCCGTCCTCTCTCATCTGAATCCATTGCCAGGCTCTGTCTTCTCATATCCATATTCATTGCCAGGAGGAGCTTGTTCATGGTAGCAAGTGGCTACAAGCATTGGGCTGGAGTCCGAGTCCTTAGTCATATACAGTCACATATGTGTAGTCTGGTTGATTAATAAGCAACTCATAGTAAGAAAGACCACGAATCATTCACAGCAGACTGAGGGTTCGAGGCACTCTGAATGTCATCTTTCAGATATGTGCACACATATGCATTTGTATACATATGTATACATGTGTGCATACACATATGTATAGAACTACATGTGTGTGTCCTTCTGTGTTTCCTTCCCTACAGTAAGATCTGGTGGCTTTCAGAGTAGCGGTCACCAAAAACACTCAGTGTTCAAACATTTTTTCTTACAGGTTGACAATGGAATGATTTCTAAATCTTTGGTTTATCAAAAAGACAACTTCTAAAAATTCACAACATTGTTGATTATTTTCTCTATAAGTGCACAGTGAACTTTTTTTTTTACAAAAGAAGAAAACAGTGCCTTTGTGATTTAAATTAAAACAAAACAAAACAGCAACAGCTACTTTCTATAGCATGCAACATTATAATTACTAGAACTGGCGTCACAGTGAGCCTCTGAGAGACTCCTGCAATCTGTGCTGTTTTCCTCTGTCTCCTGTGCCCTGACCAAAGACAGGG